CCCTCCCCTTACACGAATTTTTACGAAAGAAAGAGAGAGAGAGGGTGGTACAACTCTTTGATAACCAACACTTGTAAAAAGAATATTTTTTTCAAAAGTAAATCGTCAGATAAACCGCACCATTAATTTTATTACACATAATCATTCCAATCGAAATACTATTCTCAATGAAAAGGAAGATTTAAGGGAAAAATGGTATAATAATGGGATAAAGGTGTAAAGTCAATGTTCTCCATTCCACAGTCGCAATACGTATGCGAATTCGCATATATCGCGGAATGTAACACGACACATTGGTACAGCACATAATAGTACCTACTATACATGTATAAACGCACAACGTTTGGTACTTGTACTACCAATGACGTGTCCAGCTTGTACCGCAATCGAGCTCATTGTCTACCACAAGAGTACCCTACAATACAAAGCATCATCCGATGGATGCTAGTACGTGTTCTCTCGTAATATATATTAACGTTCCTGTTATTCTCTCTCACACACACACACACACACTCTCTCTCTCTCTCTCTCTCTCTCTCTCTCTCTCCTTGTCTTTCTTTCTCTTCATACATCTCCCTATATGTATATATATATATATGTATTTGTATAACCAGATCTCATACTCGTTAGTGCAGCTGTTGGCAAATAAACGTACGAGAGATACTAGAAAAGTGACCGTTAGTGTCAGAAACATGACACCCATCATTCTCATATTATCGTAATTCGAGAGGAAAAATATAGACGACAAAAGAAACAAATGTATATGTATAGATATGTGCACTACAATTGGAAAAATAGTATTTCAAAAATTGTCTGACCGATTTTTAGATAAGATAAATGCATTTCTAAAAGAATATCTCTCATTTTTCTAACCGAACATTCTATTTTTCTTGACACTTTAGAAATATCGTTTAGATATCTACGAGCTAGGTGAAGAAAAAAGCGCACGGCAAAATGCGCACGTGACAAAATTAGATTGATACGAGACTACCTCTATCCTTCTTTCAAATATTTTCTCTCAACTAAACGAAAGATATTAGCTTTGTATTTCAAACAAATATTATTATCATAAAAAAAAGTTTGTGCATGGTCTTCGTTTATTCCGACAAAATACACTGAATTATCGTGCTATTGATAAATGTGACAATAATGGGTGAAAGGTCGGAAAGATAGAAAGAGAAAGAGGATGATGGTCAGGGTGATACAGATAGATAGATAGATAGATAAATAGAGATTAAGACAGTTGAGGTGAACATAATGCATTAGCTCTAATGCAACGATCCGTTTAATTATTGATATTAAGCTGACCAATCAATGGAACAGCCGATGGATGAAAATCAGATGAATTAACGGACTTAACGTCTATGATCTATGTTTAATATCAAACGATTCGTATTTTCCGAGATATATTTATAGATATGTGTTTATTGATATAATTTGATCTGGCAAGATATGATCAATGAAGTAATACTTAGAAAAATAATCACTTGTATTTTGATTTTGTATCTTTTGTATTAGAAACAAATACCGTATTTCCAATTAACAGTAGGAACAGTGGGCACGAACAATCCTGAGACTCACTGTACACGCACGATATATTGTATATACCCTGACCATTCAACAACTGTCGGCATCAATTTGACTCGATAGTTTTGGGAAAGAGTATTTGTTTTGTTTCAAAGGTAATTGATGAAGTTAACTTCTCTCTTGACAATTATTGACTAACTCTATTTACACATATATATATACATATATATATATATATATATATATATATATATATATATATATATATATATACTGTTTGTGAAAATATATATATATGTGTGTATGTGTAGATTTTAATTAACTGAACAATACGAAAAAATAACACAAACACAAATTTATAGCTTTGGTTTAATAGGAGAAGAAGAACACGTTCTATTTTTTTTTCGAGTTTTATTTGTAATTAACTGCTAACTGCACCCTCACTTTTGTTTTCATTTGTTTAATCTCCGATAATATATTGACTTTTGCAGTATAACATAAAGAAGCGAGAAGAGATTCAAGAAATGCCGCAAGAGGAGCCGAATCCTTTGATGCGAAAGAAGAAAACGCCAGAGGAATTGGCAGCCGAGGCTGAAGCTGAAGACGAAGACGAGTTAACGAGTACGTTGTCTACTTTTTTTCTTCTTATTATTTTAAATTCAATCAAGTATTTCTCTCTCGGAAAATCTAAAAAAAACATCAAATTTCCATCAATCTCGGTTCTTACAATTGTTCGCGATAATAATTTCTCCAGACTCGCAAAAAAGATGTTGAATTTTTCATAAAACTAACGAACACAGACGCGAATACTCGATAAGTTTAAACCGAATGAAATATTTACCTCGTTCAAAGTCGAAATGTCGTCGTTGTAAATAATGGATCGAGATGGTGATGGTTATCGTAAGGGTGGTGTGAAAGGGGTACGCAAATTCATAGGAAGGATATCGAGCGAATTGTACGGCAAGGAATTAATGTGTGCCACTGAGTTTCCGGAATAGGGAAGAGGGAAAGGTGGGAGGGGGGAGGGGAAGGGAGGGAAGTAGAGCTGACTGACTTGATCGATGAGAGGTTAACGAGCCGTGGCTAGAAATCAAACAGAAACCGCCTCGAGGATTCGAACAAGCAATACCACCCACGAACGAATCTAACGTGAGAGAGAAAGAGAGAGAGAAAGTTACAGAGTTAGAGTCAATGTCGTGTGCCTAACATTGTTCTGCGAACCGTGAAGAGAGATTGTTCTAACAAACCAAAGGATTCTAACTAAAGGGAAACAGATTTTTCAAGTGAAAACTTCTTTAGAATGGGAGATGATTTGAGAACAGATGTGACGAAAACATATTCATCCACGTATATATATTAGGGGTTGTCTATTTCTCGGATAAAACAAAAATACCAAAATGTTCGATCATTCCTCGCGAACACCTAATTAATAAATTATCAATCCCTTTTATTGATATTACCTAGGATTATATAGGACTATATTCTATTACTAGGATAATCGGTATTGCATATTTCTTGTGTTTCAGAACTGAAGAACGTGTTAGAGACGCACGTGATGGACATCAAAACGCAAATCGAAAGTAAGTGCAGCCTCCAATGAGCCTACGGGTGCATCAAACGGACGGCGAGCGCGACATCGTGTGTCATCGTGAAAGAGGACGATGGGGGGATGGGTGGAAAATGCAGAAGAGAAGCTACTATTATTACTAATACTACTAC